AGTATGTTTCCTTCAAACCCGGAGAAAACCTCCTTCATCACCCTGAATGGCACCTACTGTTATAGGGTGATGCCTTTCGAACTTAAGAATGCCGAAGCCACGTACCAGCGCCTCATGAATAAGGTGTTCCAAACACAGATTGGGAAAATCATGGAAGTCTATGTGGATGACATGTTGGTGAAAAGCATGGTTGTGCTAGACCACGTGACACATCTCCAAGACACCTTTGACATCTTAAGAGCCTACGAGATGAAACTAAATCCTGAAAAGTGCATCTTTGGTGTTAGTTCAGGAAAAATTCTTAGGCTTCATGGTCAACAGAAGGGACATTGAGGCTAACCTAAACAAGATCAGAGTTATCTTGTAGATGAAGTCCCCAACCTATGTGAAGGAAGTCCAATGCCTTAATGGGAGGATAGCAGCCTCAGCAAATTTGTCTCAAAATTAGCAGAAAATTGTTTGCTTTTCTTTAAAATCGTCCGTAAATCTTTCCAGTGGAGACCAGATGTAGAGGAGGTCTTCCAAAAGTTAAAGGCCTACCTCGTTACAGCCCCTTGTTCTCACATGCCATACTAGGAGAAATCCTATATATTTACCTCTCTACCTCATCCACTGCTGCGAGCTCCATCATTGTTAGGAAGGATGGATGCATCTAGAAGCCTATGTACTATGTAAGCAAGGAATACCGAGGGGCAAAGGTAAGATACTCAGAGATTGAGAAGTTGGCTCTCACATTTTTCACTGTCGTCAGGCGCTACACCACTACTTTCAAAGTCATTCCATCGTGGTTGTTATAGATCAACCACTTAAGAGAATCCTAGGAAGTCTGACGTGTCTAGCAAACTACTCAAATGGGCTATTGAGTTTAGTGAGGTCAACGTGCAGTACCAGCCAAGGGCAGCTATAAAAGTGCAAGCAATTGCGGACTTTGTGGACAAGTCTATACCACCAAAGGAATCCTAGGAAGAAGTATCATGTGCTTCTGTGCTCGCCTACTCAGTACATAACGCCTCCACTCACCATGAGGCAAGACCAGTCATTATCCCCAAAGAACCTGACGTCTTGGAGACAGCCCCTCAGGCCCTTGAAGACCAGACCTCGAGGCTAGAAGCCTCCACCTCCCTTATACTTGCTCCATTGGAGCCCTCAGCGCCTTGACCACACCTCAATCTAATCTACCATGTTGGAGACTGTATGTAGATAGACCCTCCACCAATGAGGGCAGCAACGCAAGACTAGTTCTAATCAACCCCCATGGAACTACACTCAAGTATATTGTCTCCCTCCACTCCGCAACATTAAACAATCAAGCAGAGTATGAGGCTCTCATATCAAGCTTGAAGCTTGCAATATAGGTGGAAGCCCTCTGGCTGATAGCTTACAGTGACTCATAGTTGATTGTTAATCAGGTAAATGGAGACTTTGAAGCGAAGGAGGAAAAGATGCAAGAATGCTTGTCAGTGGTCTAAGCTTTATTGAAAAAGTTTAACCACTTCCAGATCCACCACGTCCCTAGGGAAGAGAACGCCATGACAAATGCCCTTGCCAAGTTCTCATCCACCAACATACTCATGGGCCCAGCACTGGCAGGCCACCAGTTTGAACAAAGCAAGTTCAAGAAAGAGGAGGACGATGTTAACTGTGCTTCCTCTAAAGCTAGTTGGATGACGTATGTCCGAGCCTACCTAGAGGAAGACGCTCTCCCCGACAATCCAGTTGAAGCCAAAAATATAAAAATGAGAGAATCTAGGTACGTTATCCTCCATGACACTCTCTATAAGAAAAGTTATTCACTGTTGTTACTCCATTGCCGCACCCCCGAGGAACTAGATTATGCTATAAGGGAGATCTACGAATGAATATATGGAAACAACTTAGGAGAGCATGCATTAGCTCACAAGACAGTAAGGCAAGGCTATTAATGGCCCAACATTATCAGAGGCGCCCACGAGTTTGTGAGAAAATGTGTCAAGTGTCAGCGCTTCTCAATTGTGCCTAGACGGCCACCATCTAGAGCTCGTGGCCCTTCTCCATGTGAGGGATTGACATCCTAGGTCCTCTACCCATAAGTCGGGGCTAGTGCAAATTTGTGGTAGCAGTCATTGACTACTTCACTAAATTGGTAGATAACAGACCAGAAGATGAAAGACTTCATCTGGAGGAGAATAGTCTACCGCTTTGAAATACGTTATACAATTGTAAGTGATAATGCCAATCAATTTAACAATAAACTCATTAACAGCTTCTGCACTGACCTATAGATCAAGCAGCCCTACTCCAGCCCATCCACAGGTGAATGGACAGGCAGTGGTCACTGTCAGAACCATCCACCGTAACCTGAAAACCAGATTGGATAGTGCAAAGGGGCGATGAGTGGATGAACTCCAATGAGTACTATGGACTTACCAAACAACGCCAAGAAGCCCCATGGGTGAGACGTCTTTATCCTTAGCCTATGTGACAGAAGCGATCATACTAGTCAAGATTAAGGTACACTCTCTTAGGGTCTAACACCATAACCCTATCACTAATGAAGAAGGCTTCCGCATCAACCTCGACTTGGTAGAATAGGAGAGGGAGATAGTTATGCTTAGAAATGCAGAGTACAAGAGTAGTATGACCAAGTATTACAACTCAAGGGAAGCCTCGCTCCTTCTTGGCTGGGGATCTATTCCTCAAAAAGGTCATCCTATCTACCAAGAACTCTTAAAAAGGGAAGCTAGGTCCAAACTGGGAAGGACCTTACACAGTTACGAAAGTTATAAGACCGGGCACCTACAGAATTCAAAACTCTGAGGGGAAAGTCCTAACCCATCCATGGAATACAGAGCATATGAAGAGATATTGCCAATAGCTAGGGGCAAGATAGTGAATGCATAAGTAAGGTCTTTCTTCTTCATCTCAATGGAGTGAGCCTCTACCTTTGTAGCTCTCTTAAGAGCTACTTGAAGGTCAGCCTCTGCCATGATAGCCCTCTCCCGAGCAATCCAAAGCTCATTCTCTGCTCCAACGACCCTCTCAAGGGATGCTCGCAGTTTTGTCTCTGCTCTCACATAGACGGTCTCTCTGTCAGTCTCCATCTGGGCGGCCCTATCACGAGACGACAGAAGCTCAGTCTCAAGGTGTGCAGCTCTCTCGTATGCTAGCCTCAATTGCTCATCGGTAGTCTCTCATTGTTGCCTCTCAAGCCCCAACTGCTCCTTAGCAACCCTTCGTACCTGCCTCTCCTTGCCACATCATTGAATGCTTCTCCAAGCTTCATCGTGTTTGAAAACAAGTAGGAAAAATTGACAGCCACCTACAAGCATGCAAAAAGTAGGACATTAGGGAAAATGAGTGGGTACTGGTCACAAACCATCTATAGTAGTGTCAATGATGCCCCTTTAGACCTCGAGAGCTGACCTCTTGGATCTCTGTAGTGGTCACAAACCACCAAAATTGCTCCTTGGCCAGATTCACGTCCTGTAACATGGATACTGAACCACTATTGGAAGTAGGGCAGCTATGTGGAGCTCTAGTCCTCATAGGGGGCTGCACAAGAGCCTCAATCCCGACAGCTGTACTAGGACTAACTTTGGAATGCGATAAGATTAGAGCTGGGGAAGGAATGGGGGCACCACTGGGTCCCCCCCTCTAGGGAACTAACCTGGCCAACAAACCTCAGCTGGGAAACGCTGGGAGTATTAAACTTCGCCCTCTAAGAGGAAAGAGGGGAAGATGCCATCCTAGAAGCATAAAGAGCCTCCACCATCGCTCTATCCACATTAGAACCTGTGGAATTGGAGTAAGACAAAGAGCCTATAAAATCACATCCATTAAAATTCTATTAGAAGGATCAAATATCTTTCCTTTTCTGCCTAAGGGAGACTTTGGGATGACCCAATGTGGACATAATCTCTGAAAACTCCTTAAAATGATGATCTCATACAACCTGGAGTCTACTATTCTGCTTCGCAGATAACGTGAGTGGAGCTGCAAAGGAACCAATCACACAATGAGAACGGATAAGTGACAATAAGACATAAAGGCAAAAGGTAAAATTCTTACCTAGCTTAGTCCTTGGAGCAGTGTTCCACCTCCAAGGCACTAGGTCACGATCTCCCTCGGTGGCCCACACACCTCCAACAAAGAAGAACCTAAACTTGTAGCTATGACAATTCGAAGGAAGTCCTGTGATGAACTTGTCCGACCTCGGGGCAAAACGACACCACCCTTGACGAGGAGAAGGATTATCTAGAAGCACGTACGTGGTCAAAAATTCCTCAAAAGGGGGAGGAAGATCAGCACTGTGAACTAATCGCTATAATGAGAAGAATGCTAGGATCACTCTCCACCCGATGGGAGTTAACCTCCCAGGAGCCAGTGATAGGTGTCCCAAAATCCGACAAATGGGTTCAGGTATAAGAAACCTCAACCCTGTCTCCAAGGCATCCTCATAAAAAATAAGTCGGCTCGTCCCCTCGACTCGACAACACATAATTACGGGAGGGATGTGGTACAATGATATAATGCAGGCAACATCATCATCGCAATCAATGGAGCTAAAAATAGAGGTTACCTTTGAACTATCACCCGTAGCGATCCCCCTACTTCATTAAGAGCCTTGTGTAGCAACATTCGTCATGTCCTTGTCAAGTAGGTGTCTGCCAACAAACAGAAACAAGACAGAATCAAAGTTGATGTCAAGAAAATACCAACGTCAAAGCAAGGCAAGCGGAGTCCTCACATAGTCGGAGTACAAAAAGTAAACACATGCAAAATCTACCTTTTTGCAGTTAAAGTTCAAATTCTGGGATAATGAAGCATTTTTTGGAGAAATTTGATGCCCAAACAACCTGTGGCGATTTGGATGTCGTAGATCTCAAAAAAAATACCATAATTCAAAAAAAAAAATCATTTCAAACGGACAACTAAGCGTAAAGTTATGGCTATTCAAAATTTTGTTGTCGCCCGTGTCAGTAGGTGCCCAAAGCTTGACCTGCATTTAAGACACGACCTCCTCACTGGAAATCACCTTCACTGTAGCCCACAATGTCAACATTTCCTAGGCCTCCGTCAACAACCCTTAGGGTGCTGTCTAGGCCACCAGTTACGCCAATGGCGTCGCCAAGATTGTTTTTGACGCCAAACGCATCGCCCAGGCTTACCATTGTCTTGGCATCGCCTTTTCTTGAGCCCAAGTCATGCAGAACAATACTCCTCCTACCTTTCCTGATGCTGCCCATCAATGCGTCATACCTGGATTCACCCTTGCCCAGAGAGTCGCCACCTTTGATTCTAGCATCGCCCACCAACGTCCTGTGCCTGGAGTCGCCACTATCCAGGGTGTCTCTGTCACCTCGTGGCCACGATTGCCACTTAGGACTTCTTCACTCATGCAGACACCATCATCTTTTGTTGTAGGCTCCCTTCACAGATCGCGCAAGGCATCGCTCATTGCCATGGTAGCTTCGGCGTTGTCTACCTGGGATACTCTGGTATCTCCCACTAAGACAGCGTCGCCACAAGTCGCCACAGTGTCCATGGCATTGCCTCTTCCCCTCTCCATCGGCACAGATCAGATGACCAAACCCACTAGAGCCCAGTCTGCCCTTAGCATCGCCGCTGCCACCTCCTTGCCTTGAGGCATCACTCAAGTTGTTAGCGTTGTCGATAGAGTCCACTAGTGTCACCCATGGCAAGGCTTCATCTATTGAAGCCATGGCGGACCCTATCTTTATCACCATGTTTTCATTCCTCTTCAATAACCCTCCTCTTGTCTCCATGCCTGGCCTTCTCCATAACCTAGTTTCTCTGCAATCTATAGAGATAAGGAAAAGAGGGAATAGTGGAAAAGGATGGACAGCCTTTGGGTATGTAAATACTATCCAATAAAGTGTGCCCTAAATGGGGGGAAAAGGGTTTTTTAATTTGAAAGTGTCAAATCTCTTCTGAATGCCCAGTTGGTTCCAACAGCAAGAACAGAAAAATAAGGAAAACAAGCGCCAAAGGTACGCAGTGATGGAAGACTAGAGAAACCACAGTGGGGAACAAGAAATCTCTATTCTATCTAGAGGCACATTCGTACCCTCAACCTATTTGTTACAGTCGGGGCTTTGGGCAAGCGAGGCAAAAGACGAGCCCAGATTTGGCTGGGTTCAGGCCCAACTAATCAAGTAAGCCCAAATAAGCTAAAAGGCAGGTCAAGCCCAACTCGTGAATTCGACCCAGTCCAGAGTTCAAGGAGTCCAAAAAAATTAGTGCACATGGGGAGCAATCGTCGGGATAGCCACTCTCCGAGATCGAGACTATCTTTAATCGTATATATCCTAGTTATAGTTATCCTCTCCTATAGGCTAGTACCCTACCAATCACATCACCGCCTCACCTAAGACTTTGTGTTTATAAATTGTAAGCCCTCTCCACATGAGAGGGGCATCTCTTTACATACCCTCCACACAGCTATGTCTCTCTCCTAGCTAGCCAAAATCTCCCAAAGCTTACTTTTGCTCTCTCCTTCTCTCACACCTTTATTAATAAAAGTCTCCGGACATCGTTGCCGCCTTCAGAAGTGGAGTAGGTCCCCATGACCGAATCACTATACATCTGTGTGTTGACCCAATATTTGCCTTTTGCTATTGATTGTTTTATTAATTATCCTAAATCATATACTCTACTTTTGATTATGCATATGCCTATTTTGTGCATCATCAGTTTCTATTACTATATTTTGAAAGATATCCTCTTTTCAACTATTTTTTAATAACTTTCATGTCCTTTTTTAGATTACACAAAGACCAATGGAGGAATTTCAACATCCATGAGGAGAAAGATGCAAATGTGCATTTCAATCACTTGTGGATTTTACAATAAAGTTTTGCTTCTAACCTACTATAGTTTCGGCTAAACCAATTGTGTCATTTCGTCTCCACATTGATCAAATACAAACTTGGTGGGCTCATGTTTGAGTCTTAACAAGTTGTATTTGATGAGCCCAGATTTAGCTAGTGTGGCCTAATCTATGAGTAAACCCAAATCTATTAACAGGTAGGTCAAATCCAGCTCATAGATTCAGCCCAATTCAGAATTCAAGAGACCCAGAAGATCAGTACGGGTGGGGAGTAAATATCGGGATAACTACTAGAAGATCAAGACTATTTCTAATTGTACCTATCCATAGCTATAGCTACCCTCCCCGAAGGACTAGTCACCTATTCTTTCACACCACCGCTTCAACTAAGACTTGTGCCTATATATTGTAAGTCCTCTACATATAAGGGACACACCTTTTTACTCAATGACACCATTTATAAAGCTATGTCTCCATATCTAGAGCTTACTTTTGCTCTCTCTCTCTCTCTCTCTCTCTCTCTCTCACCTGTTACCTTATCAATAAAGTCTTTCGGCCACCATTGCTATCTTCAAAGTAGAGTAGGTCACTCTGACCGAACCACTTTATATTTGTGTATTACCTATGCTGATCTCTTCTTTATATTTACTGCATTTATTACCCAAATTAATTACTCGATAGGTGGTGCATAAATCCGTTGTTGTTCATCATCAGTTTAGCGCCCTCTGTGGAAAACAATTAAGTTTTCTACTATTTGTCAATTTCATCCTAGCCTACTTCAAATCTATGGCAATCATAACCAGATCGATGAATCAAAAACCTAAGGACAATGACCCATCTCGTCGCGAGGAGGCTCTGCCTCCGCTTCTACCAGCGAAACCATCCACTGTGGCAAATCTTGTGGTCGGGTAACAGTTTTTGGAGACCATGTAGCTATTGATGAGTCAAAACTAGCAAATTCTCCAATTAATGCCCGCCTCAGGAGGCATCACCCCCCAACAAGCAAGAGGAGTCACACTCCCTCCAATTGGAGAGGTTCTACACCCTCTCCCCTCAGGGCGCCAAGGCACCCCCCAATGCGGCACCCAGTGCTAGGTTGCCCCCACGTAATGCCCGGGCGCCCCTCGCCAGGCAGTCCCCCTTTTACTTCCAGGCATCCTTCACATACCAACTCCACCCCCACACGTTGCTGACCATCTTGGGCAGGAGGATGAGGGGGAGAACCAATATGCAGATCATGAGAGCTACTACCATGACCTAACAGAGGATGTCCCTAACTAGTGGGACAAAAAGATTAAGGAGGTGCAAAACCAGATTGGCGATTCCTTAACCCCATCAAGGCACAGGTGCCAGAAACGGTGGACTACCTAGTAAGGTGTACTAACATTCCATTTGTGGAAGATGTTGTCAACTATCATTTGCCCTCAAAATTCAAGATGTCTATCGTTTAGATCTTTGATGGTACCAACTATCCCCTTGATTACCTTAACATGTACAAGTCTCTCATACAACTCTACAATGTGTCTGGCGAGATCATGTGCAAAGCCTGCCCTACCACCCTTAAGGGATATGCATGACAGTGGTTCACCAATCTCAAGCCTTCTTCCATCCACACTTGTGCTGAGTTAAGCAAATCTTTTGTCTCCCACTTCATATGGGGACATCGCCACCAAAAGTCGATCACCCACATACTCACCATTAAGTAGGATCAGGATGAAATTTTGAGTAGTTACTTCACTCATTTTAACGAGTCAAAATCGAGGAATTAGACGACAAGGTGACCATAACTGCCTTTATTGCGGGTCTGCGCTCCTCTAATTTCATGTTCTCTGTCTTAAAGATGCCACCATCTAGCATGTCTGAGCTACTATCAAGGGCACAAAAGTACATAAACGCCAAAGCCAAACGAGGTGAGACCTCCCGTGGGGTGAGAAAAGATACCCGCGAAGATAGGAGAGAAGCAAAGAACAAGAGGAATAGGATAAAGAGAGTCTCTGTCAAGGACCGTCTTGGTCCCCCACCTCTGAGAAAGCAGCAAGCCTTTATGCCGCTCAATGCTTTGATGGAGCATATCCTATTTCAAATACAAGACGATTTTATAATACATTGGCTAAGATAGATAAAGACCACCTCAAACCGTAGGAACCCGAACAAGTACTATCACTTCCATCACGAACACGACCATAATACTAATGATTGCTTTAATCTTTAGAGGCAGATCAAGGAGCTCATACAGCGTGACCAGTTACGACAGTACATTGCTGGCAGAGGACAAACCCTACTGCCTAACATAAACCAGGATGACAAAGAGCGTCAGCAGCCCCTCAGAGAGATCCAGATGATATCCCCAGGGTAAGGAGAAGGAGGCGACTCCAACTCTACCAGTAAGGTGCATGCTAGGAGGGCCAGACAGGTAGAGTCAAGTGGTCCTCGCCCTATGAAGATGGCCCAACACGGGAAAAAAAGAGGTCATTTCCTTCTCAGATAGGGACCTCAAGGGGATCCAAGTCCCTAATGATGACTCTCTAGTCTTAACCATGATGGTAGCCAACTCTCAAGTTAATAGAATTCTAGTGGACAACGACAACTTAGCTGACATCGTGTTCGCACCAACCTATGACAACCTCCACCTTGACAGAGAGAGATTACAACCCATCAGAACTCTCCTCGTTGGATTCTCTAGGGAAAATGTTTATCCCTTGGGTACCATCACCTTGGTAGTCACAGCAAGGACAATGCCAAGAAGCTCAGTGTTGGACTAACCCTTTGTCTACAACATCATCCATGAACGCCCTGCACTCAACACCTTAAGGGCAATGCCGTCCACCTATCGCATTGTTCTTCATTTTCCAACCCTCTAGGGGAATTGGAGAAATTAGAGGAGACCAAGTTGCCGCCAGAGAATGTTATATGGCCTCCATAAGGGCCAAGAGACCCCAAGAGGTCCTCTGAGTGAAAGTGTTTGACCCTAGGGATGATAGCACACCGAAAATGGGGAAGCCTTGGCCCATCTATGGGACGTCGAACACCTAAATAAATACTATCAAGGTACAAGCCAGTGGCTTTCATTTTATTTGTCATTTATTATTTCAGTTTATTTATTTTTTTATCATTTTATGAAATAAAATTTTGCAAAGATTATTATATCCAAAACTGTCTTGTTTTCATTTCATAAAGATTGTAAACAGCTTACAAAAATTAGAACATGATCGAATGATAAGGTAGACAAAAAGATAAAAGTCATCATACTCCCGATGATCACTCAATGCCCCGATCCGCTCCCATCAAGGCTCTCATCATCACCATCCGTCCCTAGGACCTCATATGGGATGACGCCAAAGAAATCAATAGCAAGGAAGCTGCTAAGGCTTTTCCCCAAAACTCTTCATAACCATTAATAAAAGCGTTTGTAATGGCCCTCTCAGTAGCATCCCTCCTTATCTCCATCTCATGGAATGAGCCTCTGCCCTGGTGGCTCTCTCATGAGCTACTCGCAGGTTAGCCTCTGCCAAGACAACCCTCTCACGAGTTATACGTAGCACGACCTCAACTCCTCATCTCCATCTCATGGAATGAGCTTCTGACCTGGTGGCTCTCTCACGAGCTACTCGTAGGTCAACTTCTGCCACGATAGCCTTTCCCGAGTTATACGTAGCTTGACCTCAGCTTCTACAGCCCTTTCGTGGGACGCTCGCAGCTCTAACTCTACGCTCACGCAGATAGTCTCCTTATCAGCCTCCAGCTTCGTGGCACTTTCGCGGGACACCAAAAGCTCAGTCTTAAGAGGTGCAACTCTCTCGTGAGCTAGTCTTAACTGTTCCTCGACAGCCTCTTATGCCTTCCTCTCTAGTCTCAAATACTCCTCAGCCTCTCAAGTCTGCCTCTCTTTTGCTAGATCCCTAGATGCCTCTCCAAGCTTGAGCATCCTTGAAAAAAGGTAGGGAAAAGCAATAGCCACATAAAAGCATTCAAAATTTAGAACATGAAGGAAAGGAGGTGGGTACAAAATCAAAGTTAAGTAGAAAGACATACCATGACAAACCCCTCCATCGCGATATTGGTAATGTCATCTAGACCTCTCTGATATCCGCAGCAATCACAAACCCCCAAAGTCGCTCCTTGGCCAAATTTATGTCTTGCAGCATGGAAACTGAACCACTGCTTGAAGCAAGACAATGACATGCAGCTCCAGTATCGATGGAAGGCCGCAAAGGAGTCTTAACTCCTGAAGTAGTGGCCGTACTAATCCCAACACTCAAAGAAGCTATGTACTAAGAAGGAGTAGGGGTACCCTCTGATCCAGCCCCTTGGGATATAACATGGTCCTCTAACCGCCGAGAGACATTGGGGGAATTGGCCTTCACCCCCTTGGGAGGAGGGAAAAATGCCACCCTAGAAGCATAGAGAACCTCTACCATCGCTCTATCAACAGGGGTGCCTGTAATTAGAGACAATGTCAATATAAAGAACCAGCATCGAGAAAACATTAAGGAGAAAGTAGGATTGGAGAAAGCGGGTTTACTTCTTACCTAGCCAAAAGCCATCATAGTTTCCCTCTTTGGCAAAACCCGAAATGTCGACCTGCCAACCATGGACGCCTGACAGCTGCCTACAAAAACCCAACTCCCCGTAGTCGTCGTCCAACTCTCCACGCGTGCGTCTAGCCTTTCCGAGACATGGATTAGGGTAGTCCTCGGGGTCATTGGTTTGGTATGTGGATTTGCTGTAACGTCCTCAACAGCCTTGCTCGCTCTCATCGGCCTCCATGTTTTACCTCACGATGAGGATGTCGTTAAAGCAAGACAAGTTGAGTCCTCACATAGTTAGGAATACAAAAAATAGACACGTGCAAGATCTACTATTTCACTAATTTGTGGTAAAAGTTCAAAATCAGTGAGAAAGAAGCATTTTTTTGGAAAAATTTTGTTGCCCAATCCACCAGCAATTTGTTTGTCGTAGATCTCGAAAAAAATACGCAAATTAAAAAAAAAATACCTCAAATGGACAATTGAGCGCAAATTTATAGTCGTTCAAAGTTTTACCATTTCTTCATCATTGTCTAATACTCCACCCAGCATCTCATCGCCAGAGTAGCAACACCAGCAGACCTTGCGAGAGTGGCAGCCCCTCCTGGCGTCGCCCAGACCCTACTACAAGGTGTTGCTCATATCCTCACGCATAGTGCCCCTTGGTGTTCGTGCCTATCAGCGCCAGTGCCTCAACGTCTACACCCAGCTTGCCACCACCAATGCCAAGACCATACCTGGCATCGCCTAGCATGCCCCAGCGCATGCCTGACATCACCTAGTGTGTGCCTAGCATACCCCTAGTGTTGTCTGGCTTTCGCAGCGCGTCACTGGCATTGCCCCAGTTGGCGCTGACCTCTCCTCCTTCGATGTCTCCCACTGCCTAGCTTCCCCTCCTTTGGCGTCGCCACTGCCCAAGCCTACTTTATTGACAACATCGTCCATAACGACTATTGTTGTCGCCTCAAGCCTCACCAAGGCGCCGCCTCCAACATCCTAAGGATAATACTTTAACTAAGATGAGGTATTTTTGTGGTTGGATATGGTGGAAGACCCAACAAGGAAATGGCTGCTATGATAATGGTTAGCTAACCATGGTATTCCAAGATGAAAAAAGCCACTACCGTGTGAAGCAAGGTACCTGGACGACTTCAATAAGAAATATACTCATGCCCTCAATCTTCTGTCGATGCAAGAGCTTGGGGTATGGGGGGCAAATGATGAACCTAGATTTAGGTGGGCTAGGCCCAATCCATGGAGTAAGCCCAAATTTATTAAAATGAAGGTCAAGTCCAGCTCATAGATTCAGCCCAATCTAGAATTCAAGAGACCAAGAAAGATTAGTGTGCGTTGGGAGTAAACATGAAGATAACTACTTGAAGATCAAGACTATATCTAATTGTACTCATTCCTTCACGTCACCACCTTAACTAAGGCTCTATGTCTATAAATTGTAAGTCTTCTACACATAAGAAACACACCTTTTTACTCAACTACACCTTTTACTCCCTATCTCTCTCTCACCTACTACCTTATCAATAAAATCCTCCGGCCACCGTTACCACCTTTAAAGTGGAGTAGATCGAACCACTCTATATTTGTGTATTGCCTGTATTGATATCTGTTTTATATTTATTGCATTTATTACTAATATTAATTACTCGACAGGTGGTATATAAATCTACTTTTGTACATCATTAGCATTCACTGGTAAATTTTTCCACCCTCATTGGACCTTTATTGATCCAAGCCAAAATTTTGATTGTATTCTCGTCATAAAAATAAAAAATAAAATAAAAATCGTAATATGTTAAAGGCATCCAAGACTTTGTTAGAGGAATCATGAAGAATGAAGCAACAATTTGTCGAAAACTAATGTGTAATTTTTCAAGAAAGATAAGGCGTGTTTGGTTTTCTTTTCAAAAACAGTTTTTTGTTCTCAAAATTTCAAAAACTTTGAAACTTATTTGTTCAGCATTTTTGTTCTTAAATTTTTGGGAAAAAAAATGAGATTTGGAGCAAATAAACAGAAAATACGTGTAGATTATTTTCAGAGTTTTCTTTGAAAATTTTGAAAACACAGAGAATAGTTTTGGGGCTTTAATGAGGTTTGTCCTTCGAGTCCCCGTAGCAGCAAAAGTCTTCATTCCTTTTTTTTTCCTTCCTCTACCTCTCCAGCATCTTCTTCTCCAACGTCTCCATCTCCTCTCTCTCTCTCTCTCTCTCTCTCTCTCTCTCTCTCTCTCTGCAATGAAGGTGGAACACCAAAGCACAGATCTGAAGCAACTAAGTCAAATCTGCTCTAGGTCTGTATTATATATATCTATATATATATACTAGCAATTGCCCGTGTCTAAAGGCACTATATAACAAAATTACAAATAATTACCCACACCCAAAGATACTATATAACAAAATAATGGTCAATTAGTCAACTCAACATTCCAAAAGAATCAATTGAAAATTCTATAGATTTAACCACAACAACAAAAATCAAAATAAAATGTCAGTGATCCAACTATTAGCTTTATCCACCAAATACTTATGGCAATGCAATCTATGAAAATAGGGAAAAGACTCGCACACAAAACTTATATGAATAAAAAAAAATTCCCTGAATTCACTAAACAAAACTAATAAATTCTAATATTGCAGTTCCTTGGTATTGCAAGCGTCAAGTAAAGTACAAAAAAACTAAAGCACTAAATGTGCAAATGCAAAAACAACTGAGAACTCATTTTAATGGATCATTCTTTCAATAATTCACTGAACTTTATCTTCATTGAACTTTCTCTTCATCACTTTCTTGAATGTTCTTGTGTCAATACATATGCAAAATCGCAAGTTGGGTGAATGTACAACAACCTAGTTTTGCATAAAGAAATAAAAAAAAAATCTTAGTGGAATATATTACTTATAAAAAAAACAGTTCATTAAAATAGTGTAAAGATTGGGTTACCTTATTACGATATTTCCATTAGTGAAGTCGTGTTGTATTTATTCTTTATATCTTTTTAGCCAATTCACACCAATTTTGACAAATATTGAATGATATCATAAAATTAACGTGATTATTTCATCTCGTTCTCAACGTGCAAGATGTGCCACATGATATTTTTATATATCATTATTGTTGGATATCTAAAACATTATTAAAAGAATCATTCTTGTGAACATAAACAATTATATAACATTTACTTATGTGTTGAATTCAACCATTCATATCACTTGAGACTCTGTATTTTCTTTTCCTTTGCCAAAAAAACCTTCTTTTTCTTTTCCTTTAGAGTTAGCAGTTGCCATAACAGTTGCCTTTCTTTTTTCCTTTCAACAAAACAATATGGATAAATAAAAAACTATTATAGCTCAAAAACATATTGCCTATATCATTATATTTATATTTGTTGTCTCCTTTTCAGATATGTAAAGGCAATTAAGTTCACATTCATCACGAATTACAGTGCCTATATTTTTTTGTCAAAACAACTGGACCTACCAATTCAAAGAAATTTAAAGCTAAATTGAGCAATAAGATATAAGAAGTAATAAATGAGTCATAATTCTATCGACTTACTGTATGATCTAGGTTATTATCCTTATCCATTTGTAAAAAAAAAAATTTATAATTAGTCAGAGATTATCACCTCTCATAAGATAGATATTATGAGAGGTTGTAAAAGAAATCTATTACAAAAATATCTTACATGGCCAAAAATGGTAATGTTGTTCATAGAACACATGGAGGGTGGTTTCGATTACGCCAAGGTACCTTTAGCAAAATTTTCTTTATAAAGATTATGTAGAGGATTTTTTCAAAGCATTGTCGGTAAAGATGATAACTCAAGGTTTCAAAATATAAAAAAATAAAGAAAAGTCTCAATGTCACAACGAATACCTCAAACAACGAAATTAGTATACTCAACATCACAACAGAAATAATAATTATAGCGATGCACAATTAACAATAAATCAATAGCCCAAAATGCATCAAAGCACATTATTTATCATGTTTGGTTTATGTATTTTATTGGTATGTTAGAAATTTCATAGGTTTATAGAACCTTTCCACATTTTTTACAAAAAAATAAAATAATGGAAGATTACATCCAGACTCCCTGAGGTTTGTCACTTAATTACTTAGAATCCCTAACATTTGAAATATTACATACAGACCCTCTCAGGTTTGTACCCGAGTAACACCTAAACATCTGCTGTAAAAAATAAATTACACTTAGACTCCCTTGAAGTTTGTAGGTATATAATACTTAGACCCCATTATATTTAGACCAAAAATACTCTAATCAAAAATAGAATATCAAATATTTTAAATTTTACAACTAAAATTCTTATTCTATTGTATTATTTATTGAAATAAAAATAAAAATATAATTTTTTTCTTAAAAAAATTATAATTAATATACAATTATACTATCTATTGGAATAAAACTAAAAAAATCAAATAAGGGGCCTAAGTCATTCATAATAAAACACAAAATTTTCATCTAAAATTCATGTTCTATTAAGTCATTTATTGAAATAAAATCAAAAATAAAAATTTATTTTAAAAAAAAATCATAGTTAGTATATAATTATACTATCTATTAGAATAAAACTAAAAAATTAAATAAGGGGTCAAACTGTAATGGACATAATATCTTTTTGTTTTAATTGTGGTAGTTTGATATTTTAATTTGGTCGTTTAAATGACCAAGTTAAATTCCAATAGACAATATAATTATATACTAATTACAATTTTTTTAAAAAAATTGAATTTCTATTTTTGATTTTATTTCAATAAAAGATATATAGAACATGAATTTTAATCGTAAAATTTAAAATATTTGATATTTTATCTTTGATTAAAGTATTTTTGGTCTAACTATAACATTTTAAACTTAAAGGGTCTAAATAATATTTGTTTACAAACTTTAGGGGGTTTGATTGTAATTTATTAACGGATATATTTAAAATATGGGTCTAAGTCGCGCATACAAACTTTAGGAGTTCTGTGTGTAATATTTCAAATATTATAGAGTGTGTAATTCTCCCCAAAAAAAAAAAAAAAGACATGAATTTGGAATTACTTCAATGTCATTAATACCCGTACTATGGAGAATTTTAGCACAATTTCAAAGAAGTTGACACGGCGTGGAGAATTTTAGCACAATTTCAAAGAAGTTGACATGGCGTGAAGAGAGAGAGAGAGAGAGAGAGTTCATGATGTACAAAAATGTTATAACCAAAGCTAAACAAAATAAAATATCGAGCATAGATGAACAAAATAAAAATATTGCATAAATGCACCTAAACAAAATAAAATATTGAGTAGAACTCAATGAATAGTGTCAAGTCTTAATATTAATAATATAACCAACTCAATCCTGATTATTTGGGCAACTCAAATATCAAACCATATAACCAATGCCAAAAAAAATTAAATCTTATATTAAAATTCAAAACAAAAATTACCTTGCACCTAAACAAAATAAATACTTTAGGAAATGAGACAGTGGCGTGAATTGGGGTGTGAGTGAATTTAGAGTGAGTGAAAGAGGTGCGTATGTGTGCGTGAATTGAGCGTGAGAGAGAATGAGAGAGAGTCTAGAATTAGGATTTGCTTGATTTTATGAAAAGATTTGGAAGAATTAAATTTAGGGATTCTAATTTTGGTAACTAAATTTTTTGTGTATGGAAAAGTTTTGAAAAGTTAATATAGTACGTCGGATTGAAATGATTTCAGACGTCAATAGCTTGAAATAGTCTGAGATAACGTCGTCTGTCGGATTATGACTTTTTTGATCACCAAACAATCTAGACCATTCTTTATCTCTTGGATTCAAAATCGTTTTACTTTAGTATATAGATATATATATTGTGTGATGGTGCGAGTGTTCTTCGGTGTTATTTATGTTTTTTTTTTTTTTTTGAAAAAAATTATTGGTGTTTGTATATTTTTTCTATTGAATATGTTTGATTTTATTTTAGACGAAGATCATTTATGTATTTTTTTTATATTGATTTTATTTATGATAAAGATTATTGAATGTGATTAGTTTATTTTAAAGTTTGGTTTATTAAATTTTTTTTATGAAATTGTCAATCTAAAAATAACTTTCTTATATATTTTTTATTAATTTTTAAATTACTGTTCAAACATATATTTAGGCTATCCAAACAGGTTTTATTATTTTTTGTACTGTAAAATTATTTTTAAAATCATCTAACCAAACAAGTTTTTATCTCAAAATATCAAAACACATTTTCTTAAAACTCTTCTCAAAAGCTGTTTTCAAATATTATTTTTTAAAACGCAAACCAATCGGACCCATAGTTTTGAAGAGAGGTTTGGGAATGGATTCTTGAAAAACAGTCCATAATCTCATTGACAATGAGTCTATTCATATCTCAATGAGCAATACAGATACAAATTCAGACCTCTGATACTCGGGCATCCTAATATTATCATAAAATACAGATATTTTTTACAAAAAGTGTATCATTTTTATTTCTATATATGTGATAGTATATAACCTAATATGTAAAACACATTTTATGAACTATATCCCCAGCGTGTCACTATCCTACTTTTTTGAGAAATGTAATGCTAGTATGTTCATAGTTCTTAAGTTGCAACAAACCATTTAATTTTTCCCCGGAAAACAGAAACAAAAGGGTTCGAGTAATCTCAGACAAAATTCACCGTGTAGAATTATATACTTGAGAGTGAGTTTATCGGATTTCAAGAATGAGTTCACCTTCCATCAATAACTAATTATACAACATTACAAGTAGATACCCGGACACCACCTCTAAATGAAGAATTCAAAAAACAAAAAATCGAAGAAGATGAAGCACTAATGGGCTAAGACATAGACACATAAGCCGAGGAAAAATACAGTTATTATGATCTGAAATTAGATACTAAAAACATATACCTATTCTCCATGGCATGGAGGCCTCTATTATCCAAGGCATAGTGACCCAAATAGCATGTTTAAGCAATGGCGTAGGTGACTGTCTCTACCTCTTTGGGGCGCCACATGGTCTTCTGCACACACAGCAATCCTTCCTTGTCCCTAGAGTAAGTCAAGCGGATCTCCCATTGCATAGACCTCAGCATGTTCTCCACTTCATTAACAGTCTCAACTTTGTCACGGACAATAAGCTTTCCCTCTGGTCTTAAAATGCGATCAACCTCCGCAACCAAAGCCGTTAGATTACACCTGTGTGATGCGCATAACCATGACAACATTATAGCAAAGCATAAAAATAATTTACGAATATTTTCAGAAAGCAACGTAATAGTGGATACGCACTTATTTTTAATCTTGGAGAAAAGATGATCTGCGTGTAGAAGATCATAAGATCTAGGGTAAGTGCTAAATGACTCGCACCAATCGTGATACATTCCAAATAGACCTCGTTCATAAATTAATGGTAGTGTATCGGGAGAGTCAACTGAGACCACATTCATGACCCATATGTTCAAGTCTCTTAGAGCAGCAGCAAATCTGCAAGCAGAGCCATGAAACAGAAATTATAGAGTGCAGAAAATGAATGGAAGATGATCAGCCACGGTAGTAGTAATAACAAGTGATACAAAATCTGATGCTCGAAGCCAATGATGAACTCATAATGTTTAAGAAACCCCCTCCAAACAAGTCAAGAGAATTCATTAATGATAACTGCATTTTGGCTTTTGTTTAAAAGAATAATGACAATGTGATCATCTTTTTGTTTTCTGATATAATATGCTCATTATATAGAAAGAATGATTTGTGGAAGATACAGAAGAAAGTTTCTTGTCATTTTGATAATGATTTATGTTCAATAGACAAGGTAAACCCTCGAGGAAATTGAGAGAGGAAGAAAGAGAGATACAGACAGATCTCGTAAAGCAACCAAGATACACTTGGGAACCTTAAAGAATATTGCTTACCCTCCATAGATAGATCTCATATCCATAGCGTTTCTCACAGTAGACCAGTTTATTCCCATTCCACTTATATATGACTTGCTCACCACACGTTTCCAGTGTGCATAATCTTCGGTGAAATCCTCAGGGGCTGGTTTCCCATAAACACCAACCTCGGAACTTAGCAACCAGTAAGGTGGTTTCTCCAATCTTGCAGGCCATTGTTCAGGCCACTGTGACCCGCGTTCTGATGATTCTACAGGTACTTTGTGCATGCAAGATTGCAATGGCACATTCCTGAGCACATGCATATTAGACTACAGTTAGAACAGCCAAGTATTCAAATATTAGGTCAATAAACTAAGTTTTTTGTTTTAACATTTTCATGATTTTAATTCATATCCTTTGCTTTTAATAGCAGACTTAAAAGAAAATCTATCCTTTTTTGCATTAAGAAAAAAAATTCTCATCTCCGATAAAGAAGTACCAGGCTGCATTTGGATCATCAGAGTGTTGGCAGAGTGGAGGCTCATTCTGTGATCTTTTCTCATAGCACTCATTAGAATTAGGCTTCTGATATACAGCCACACCCACTTTGTTCAGCCTATCCTTATTTATTGATACCACTTCCCAGCACATTGACTTCGTTAGTTGCTTCATAGCTGCCAACGTTCGGTACATTAGAATCAATGAGTCAACTCACTTTAGGAGAAAATATACTGGGAAAGCGGACAATATACCTTCCCAAATTTCAACATCTTCAGGTAGTTTCCGGTAGATGGGAGTAGCAGACCACACAAAAAAACCACCAGGTCGTAACAGACGATTCAGCTCCAAGAGAAGTTTACCACCTGCATGTTGTACAAATCAACGGATTTCCAACAAAAAGTTAAAATGTCACAAATTATAGAGGAAAAAGCAAACCAAGATTGAGCAGAAGAGCACACATATGTTTACTAAATGAGAAGACACATGAGACAAAATAGGGACAGTGTAAACAACCAAATGAGACTTTTTTCAACACCACTTTTTAAACAAGGTCATCAGACGTATATGATATGAAATACCTTCAATATGCCACGGAACCCTACACCGTGCACAGTGGACTATATCAAAGACTCTCCCTGGGAAAGGAAGCCTCTTTGTGCCCATCACAGCAGATATAGCGGGGATTCCCCTTTCAAGTGCAAATTGAACCTGAGCTTCATGTTCATCTTTTGGAGCAAAAGACATGGTTAAGACATCTCTTTCAAAGAGATAGCCTCCAAAGCTAGCCACCCCACATCCAACATCCAGTATCACACGTGTGTGTTTTCCCCAGGCAATATCAGGCACAGACTACAATAACAATACATGCACCCATGTTAAAATAAATATGTTGCAAGATGCTAAGCAGGAGTTCAACAAGAAAATCCTCTCACCCAGTAAGGTACATCCAAAGCATTTGACTCACCCTATGGATGTGACCATGTAATGATATAACAAAAGGAAGTAACCAAAGAATTGCAGCATTGTTGTTTCACAAATCAAGCATATTGTCGTTAAACAAATAGAGCACAAAATGTGGCACACTCATCACATTGCAAACACATTTCACATTAGACGAACTCACAAAAATTACTCATAAATCATAATATCCCGTTAGTAAGAAAATTGAACTTCTCTTTCCCATTCATTTCTGTTCCAACGGTGACAATCCTTGTAGAAGAATTGCAAAATTTATACCTAGTAGGATTGGATAGTGAAATGTTCATTGCACTAAACAGATAGTATGTTCATATACATAAATAATATACACAAAGATAAGTGCAAAAGTATGTATAGATATGTCTATTTGTACAATTTAAAAAGGAGTCATTTCTTGGTCCTAAACCATCACATTTTATCTTTAAAGAAGAAGAAAGAGACGGAGGTGGAGAGAAACCAATCAAGGAACCTACAGGCAAACGACGTGAAGGACTGTACTAATTACTTAAGATATAAAGCGAACATGATATATAATTCATGTTGGTGTGAATTAGTGTGTGTGTGTGTTAGAGAGAGAGAGAGAGAGGGTAAACCTGCTGTATGAAATCAATGTAATGAAGAGCACCATGCTGAAACTGGGTTCCACCACCGGGGAAGGTAAGAAATTCACCGGTAACTTTAACCCAATTTTGATGTCCTTTAATTTCTGCAAGCTTGGTATGTGGAACATTGTGGTACCAAATCTGCAGGAACAATCATTAGGTGTCCAAAGAAAAGAAGACACAACAAACGGAAGAGAGTATCATTTGAGTCAAAACTAGTATACCTTTTCCCTGCTCGTAGGCCACTCAATTGGGTGTTGATATCCTTCAGGAAGAGGAACGAGGCAAGTCGGGGGATCTTCTGGACAGTGCCTCTCCCTATGTTCATAATGCTTTGTAGTTCGAAGCTTCCTAATTGCTTGCAGATTATCAAGGCATGGAATATAATCTGGACCAGCAGTAACATTGCAAAGTTTCCATCTGTACCCAGTTTGTTGTTCAGGTTCTGAGGATGTTTGTGCACCCTTTTCCTTTTGTGACTCTGCTGCCTGAGTTGAAAATGCCCCATTTTGAGTGGTAGTTTCATTCAGAAGCTCTGATTGAGCCCCAGAAGGAAACACCTCAGTTGAAGCCTGATCTTTGGTCTTTTCACCGTCCTTTTTCTCACTGAAATTTGAATCTGACTCCTTATCTTCCTTTTGCTCCACATTCTCCTCTATCTGACCATTTCCTTTAAAAACATCTTTTCTTTCATCTGATTTCTCTGAACCTTCATCCGAATTTGATTTATCCCCGATTAGGCCCTCCTCAGAATCTCCTTGTTTACCAGAATTACTTTCACCGCCAGCTTCAGAATCCTTCTCCTCAGGATTTGATCCTCCATTTTCTTTTTTTCCTTCTAAATTTTTCGTCTCATTTTCTGATGCATCTTCTGATTTATTCTCTTCTTCATTCTGCTTTTCAGGCTTCTCTTTGGATTTCTCATCTTGAACCTCCTCTGTTATTTTTTCAGTGGTTTTCTCTGGAACATCTGAGTTCTCCTGAGAATTAGAATTTTTTTCTTCTTGAGTAGTTAAATTCACATTACTGTCCCCTTTTGTTGCATCCTCAGGTAAATCACCCGGGTTATCCTCAAACTGCTTGGTGTTGCTCTCGTTGTTAGTATTACTCTCAGCACTGGCATTATTTTCATTTTTCTCACTCAGTTCTGTCTTCACCTCATTCTTGTTCTCCTGAGAAGACACGTCAGCATTCTGAACAGGGACTACGGAAGATGATGTCATCATCCATACCCCAACTAAGCAAAGGGCAACAAATACAACCAAAGTCACCGTCGAGCAATAACTCGATGATGATTTTTTGCCATCAACTCTAGAGTATTTTCCTAACGCCATTCTTATTAATCTTGACTCTTACTTGAAAGTTTATACCTGCAAATTAACCACAGAATCAAATACATTTTCCTGTACCATTTGAATTGCATTGCTACAACATGTCCAGCACAATCAAATTACATGACTGACTTCGAATTACTAAATTCTATCAAGCTCAACTCAACAAAGCAAGTCCCAATTGTTTAAGGTCAGCTAGATGAATTATTTTAGAATCTTAATTGGATCATGCCAAAGCATTAAATATGGCAACAGGATAAACATAAATTTCTCAAGCTATTCGCCATACCCATATAAGCAATATAAAAGAACTCTAAAAGGGTATCTGAGATCCAATCAATATAAAGTATATTACATCCATAGTTAAATTAACTCCTACATTATGACGGATCTGCAATAAATCACCGCAATAACACACAATAATCTAAACAGATTTATTTTTTTTCAAAAAAAAATTATATTTTCAAAATGCTAAAAAAAACAGACATTTGCCAGAGTAGAAAATAACTAGTCATAATGCATTAGATCTGCATCATAGCACCATACCATCGAGACATGGCATACATATATCGAATTATATCAAACTATACGCAAATACACACACACACACATATACATAAATATGAATGAAGCTGATATGATGATAGATCCAGAGAGCAATCAGCTCGGTAATGTGAGAGAATTTTTCACATACCTTAAAGCTGCAGATCTAAAAGAAGAAGGCAGAAAGGTCATTCGCTCATTTTGAACAGCGAGAGCGAGAGAGAGACAGAGATTTAAAGGGGTGTAATAGATTGTAGTTCCTTGAAAGAAAGAAAGCGAGTAGGAAAGAATATATAATAGCAGTAGCGATCTCCCACTTCTTTACGAATACATTACCTTTATATTATACTGAATTCCGATTATGCATACTTTTTTATTTATTTATTTACAGTAATTCTTTCTAGAGAGAGAGAGAACAGAGACAGAGACGACCACTCCAGGTCCGAGAAATCGGTGATGAGAGAGAGAGAGAGATTAATGCATTTGATTGGCATTTGGCAGCTGCCAAACTGATTCGGGCCCACCCTCTATTAGGTCCAAATTTACTCAAATGACAACTTTGCCCCTCATACATGCTCATTCCCTTTTTTTTTTTTGAACAGGAATGTTCATGCCCTACAACCATTCACCTTAATATTTCATATAAAACAATAAAATTATGAGTAATACTAGATTGATCAAAAAATGAGATTGAATTAGGAATTAAATAATACGGTACTATAATAATGATAATCTTGGTGTCGCTTTTATTCAATTAATATTCAATATTTTCTTATAATGTCGATTGTTATATTATTTTAATTATATGTTTAACCAGTATAACATCATTGTAAATTTATATAGATGATTGAATTTGACTAAAATTGGTAGAGTTTGTATTCCATAGGGGATTCTGTTAGGTAGAAGCCTGAAATCTTCTTTATTTATTTATTTTTAAATCTTCTCATTCTTTTTTCACTTTCGTGGTCAAAGCAAGACCTTCCATTGTGGAGTATATTTTAAAGAATTTTTATGACGACACGAAGTTCTTAAGTTGGTATTCAATAAACCACTAGAAAATGTCATTAGAATCTACCAAGTTCATGAGAAAAATGTCCCCTAATACCACCATTTTTACTTGGTTTGTTTTTATTGGAATTTTTTCTTGATTAATGGAACTATATTACTTACACTTGCGATTGTGGGTCAACCAAAAATTTCAATAGTTGTGTATGTTGAACAAATTATTCACCAATTTTGTTAATCTTGTTGAATTGATAATAAAACTTATCTAATATTCAAATTCATTGCTAATTTAATAACAAATAATAAATGTGATCAACAAATTCTATTCAAGCGGAATTACTCTTACCAAAGAGCAGTTGGTCAAATGGGTAAGAATTTGGATTTTCTTTCTCAATGGTTCTCCGTTGTTACGACAGTTTATTGAGGCTAAATTTACTCTTTAGAGCCCAAAGTACGCGATAGAACCTTAACTTGGGCTCGGCATAGGTGCGATGAAATTTTTTGTAGATAATTATGTGGTACTGAAAGACAATGCTCCCTAATGGATATGTAAAGTGGTTTATCTGCATATTTATTTTTTGTTCCAAAAAAAAAAAAATTTGAAGATAACTAAAGGTTAGTTCATATGGGTTTTTATTTTTTATTTTTTGCTTGTAAAAAGTGAGTTACAAGTGGAGAGGGTATTGTAAATTTGTAATCTATCAAGTGATGAAACCATGCATGTAATGCATGCAACACAACCAACCTAGCCCCACCTTAACTTTGTGGGCAGACATAAAGCAACGTTAGGTTTCTGAAATTTGACCCTAAAAAGATAAGGTTAGGTTTCTGAAACAATTATATATTGTCCCGGATGTCATGTATTTATTTATTTATTTTTTTTTATGAATGTTACTTTTAGCCAGAAAGATTCTAAAATTTTCAATTCCATCCTAAAAGATTAAAATTTTTACATTTACTCTCAATCAGACAAAAAGGTAGTAATGTAGTAAAAAATCAATAGTTTGTTGCCTTCTCTAACAAGATATTTTTATTGCATTTGTTATAATATCTTATTTATATACCTGATTATTTATCTAATACCCCCAATTTAAGTGTTTTCAATGAAAAATTTATGTTTAATTTTCTTAAAACGGAGCACATTGTTACTTTTTCATTTGATTAATAGTGCAATATGAGAATTTTAATCTTTTACGGGATAAATTGAGAGGTATAAAGAGTCATTTGCCCTTTTTTTTGTTAAATATAAATTTATCTGTAATATTAGCATAAGTCTGCCAAGTAAAACAAACTTAAGACTATAGTAAAAATCAATGACACCCCTTACTATTTGCCAAAATAGTAAGAGCCCTTCGATAATGGCATGAAGACCCTTACATTCAATAAGATTTATAGTCAGGCCCCTTATCTCATCAAAAAAATGGTATCACCAATATTTATTTTTAAAATAACCAATTTATTCGTCATTTCAAAGAAGGAAATAATCAATTATATATACAAAATTATTTCTAACTCAGATATAAATAACATTTTTGTTAATACTGTTACCCCTTACTTACTCCTCTTCCCCTCCCACATACATACATGCACCATTCATGATCACCACCTACACCAACTACGAATCAGTATGTCTATCATATATTTTCTATATATGTAATGTGTGTCATAAGATACTTTGTGGTATTTAAGGCCCATTTATATAACTTCATTTCTCCCCCCAAAATATGTACATACAAAATTTGAGTTATTTTCAAGATTGCGAGGTTTGAAATATAGGAACAACAATAGGGTGGAGAGAGAGAGAGAGAGAGAGAGAGAGAGAGAGAGAGAGAGAGATCTAATGAATTTTGGTAATAACTATGAATAGAAGCAAATTTCCATTGGGGGGCGAAATTCCCATAGAATAAAACTAGTAATGAAAGCGAAAAAAAGGAACAGGGGAAGGAGATATTAGGGGGAAAAATGGTAACTAGTCTCTGATGGGTTTCTTTTCTTCCTTTGTTCGGATTTCTTTTATTTCTTATTTTTCACAAAGTTTCACTAGTCGATAAGGATAAATAAGTCATTTTTTGACTAAACAGTCGTTGGGATGTTCATGTTATATTTGAAATGTCAAGGGGCGATAATGCTATTTTCAAAAATATTAAGAAATGGATTCATTTTACTTCAAATAATAAACAAAAATTACTATGTATCCAAAAGAAAAATATCGAGAGTTGAGCTCTAGATGACATTGTAACAATTTTGAATTTAATAATAATCTTGCCTTAGGTAATAAACCACAATCACGCTTCAATAGTTTTGCAGTTTAACACATGTAGGGTCAAATACCGTGAATAAGGTATTCAAAAGTGAGAATACCCCTACCCACCCAATGCCTATTACCTAATGTCAAATGCTATCTTACTATTGCTCTTTGTTGAAATTTATAGCTTGAAAGTTTTCTATCCTACGAACCAACCCCTAAATCGTATTAGGCATAAGGAAAGAGCAATAGATTGGACCAATCTACAAAAATTGAAACATTTCCTTCCTGACCAGCCATATTCATATTATTAAATAAAACAATTTTAATAAAGTTACCGAGGGTTATAGTCATAGTGATCCTCCTATTTAACTACTTTGATCATTTTTTGAGGTTTTAACATTATGAGGATTAAACATTCAGTTCAAAATCAAATTGTAAATAAATATAATATACAAAACAACGTTTGTGACACTAAAATAAATTGAATAGAAATAGGCAGATAAACAAACTGAAAAATTCAAATGAGTTAAACCAAACTTGGAGATTCCTAAAATAAATTGAATTCAACTCTAATTCCAAGTAAAAACATCTAACTCCACATTTATTTGGTCGAGTAACGCCTCATGTATATAAAACAACAATAGAAAAGATTCTTATATAAGGCAAAAGATTTTGAATCCACAATTTTAAATGAAAAAGAAGGTAAGTTTTAGTTTTTCATTAAGCATTCGAATAACAAAAATAATTACTTTTTATGTAAGAATAGTATTTTGTACACCGACCGTCCTAGATTTCAAAATAACATAGCCTCTCATGTACCATCATTTTTAATTAAAAAATAAAAAAGTGTTTTTCGGGGTTACATCTTCCGAGCTCTAAAATCAATTTTTAATTGTTCCCCATCAAAATAATTTTGTGGGTCCACTCCAAAAACATTTATAAAAAATAATTTTTTTTTCAAAGGCATTTCAATCAATGTGAGCTCCAATTAAGTAACAAAGTAGAGTGGTGGTCCCTGTAAGTAAGACCAACGAAGCAAAACTTCATGCATGGGTGACCGCACGACGCGGTCATGTGATTGAATCCAAACAAACACCGACTAGAACGATCTCCTCTACAAAAAATACTTAAAAATTGACGTTTGACTTCTAAAATACATTATTTTTTGGGTTAATGGTACTTAGAGATCTTTAAAATATAAAATTTATTTTATTTTAATTCTCAATATTTCAATTATATAATTTTGATATCTGAAATATTAAATATATTTGTATGTAATCTCTTAAGCAGATAACTTCCAAATTACTAACGATTTTTGATTATAAATTTGTTACGTGATATCTAAATATAAGTAAAAAAATAATTTCGGTAACTCTTAACCAAAATTTGGATAATATTTGATAAAAAATGTGTAATATGGGTACCTCTTGACTAAAATTTGGATACCTCATGATCAAAATTATGAATTTGATAGCACTTTGACCAAAATTTGGGTAGCACTTGACAAAAAATGTGTAATATGGGTACCAATAGAGCAAAATTTGAGTAAAAAATTAGTCAAGAGTTATCCAAATTATATTTTTGTCATATTTAAATATTACGTGAGAAGTTTATAATAAAAAAATCGTTAGCAATCTGAATACTATTTGTTTGAAGGACCACATAAAAAATATATTCAATACTTCATGAACTATAATGATATAATTATAATATTATGGAGTAAAATGAGACAAACCCTATAATTTAGAGACCTTCTAATATAATTTACCTCTATTTTTTCTTTTCATATTATAACTGAGTCTACATACCAGAATTATCAAATTAAGTATTATAATACTAAACACGATACAAGAATACGATACGAAATTGATACAAACTAGTGATTTTCAATTTAATTTTAACAAATTAAAGTGATAAATTAATAAACTTGTTAAATAAATAAATCAACACGAATTTACTAAAAATGACACATACACCAAATAAATTTGACAAGATAGAATTATAGATGCATCATGTACTTGTAAATTAAATAAATTTTGAGATGATACAAATTCGATACGACCATTATTAATCCTAAGTGGGCCCATGGAACTCTCCCCCTCATCCAGCATCTAATGCCTAGATTTCCTTGTTTAATTGGTTAAGTTCATAATTCATCGGTCAGAGTTCTCT